CAGTCGTTGCGATGTTCCAGCGGTGGCGATGGCCGAGCTCTGTCTGAAGAGCAAGCTGCAATGCTGGGGTCCCCAGCCCCCCGGGGCGAGAGTCAGAGACCCACTGCAGATCTCCCTTGCAGAGGGCTTCATACGCCGGGTTGCCTGGTCGCCATCTTGCCGCGCCCTCCTCGGCCACCTGGATTTTAAACCTGGTTTGACACTTTCCCAGTTGATCTTAAATCTCCAGTTGTCTCATATATAAAAGGCCCGGGTAATGATTTCCAAGTGAGGGATCTTGGGTTGCAAGTAAGAGAAACTACCTCTGGCCAATTTAAGTAAAAAAGGGAATCTAATTGAGGGTTATAAGGTAGGTTAACAGAGTCAAAGAAAGCTTGAGAAACAGAAGCAGGATGCCATGCAGCTGTTATGCCGCACGTCTTGGGAGTATATTGATTGTCACTTCATGTGTGTGCTGCCAGGAGGAATCCTGCCTTTGACCATGTTTTTCTTTCTGAGGCACTATGCTCAGGATTCAGAGGCCACAGGGAAGGAAGTGGTGGAGCTGGGGTCCCACAGCCCCTTGACTGATGGTTTTGCACAGCTGCACAGCACAAGAGAGGAAGGGAAATCAGGGATGTTTCCAGAAGAAAGGGAACTGGTTGTCTAACAACCAAAGTTCACTGCAAACATCTCCTAACTTGAAGTTGTGTAGGTGTTTTAACATGAAACTATCCATCAGATTTTTCATGTACTTTTTTTCTCCATCATAATTATTCAGATTTGGCTTTGTTAGAGGCATTTGTTGGCCTCATCTTACAGACATGAGATACCTGATGTGAGCAGCTGTCTGATCCCAAGGAGGGCACACTGTGTGCTGCTGAGAAGGCTTGGGATCAAGTTCCCGGTCTCCTATAGCCTCTGTGCCTGTGTTCCCCATCTGTAAGGTGGGAAATCCTACTTGTTCTCTCTGTACCACAGGCCATGGAGTGTGATGTTGTAAAATATATACACTCCCACTTCCTGGCATGCAACTTCTAAAGTCCTTGGAATCTGCCAAGTGTTTTTTTGTTTGTTTGTTTTTTGTTTGTTTGTTTGTTTTTGAGTTGACTGATGGCTGGCAGCCAGCCCCTAGGTAGCTTCAAGATGCAGCCAATCACCTGAAAGACCAAGGCAGGGTGAGTGGGTTGGGATTTTCAGCCCCACCTCCAGCCTCCTGGAGGGAAGAGGGGCCAAGGGTCGAGTTGGTCGCCAGTGGCCGGTGATGTGTTCATTCATGCCTACGTAATGAAACATCCATCAAAACCTACACCTGGGTGGTGCACCTAGGGAGGGCTTGGAGCGCCGAGCCCCACCCTCATGCTTTGCCCTGTGTATCTCTCCTCCTGCATACTTTGCAATATCCTTTATAATAAAACACAAGTGTTTCCCTGAGTTCTGTGAGCAGCTCCAACCAATTAATTGAACCCAAGGAGAGGGGCACGGAAACCCCTATTTGTAGCTGGTTACACAGGTACAATGACCTGGGGCTTTCATTTGGCTTAGGAAATAGGGGCAGCCTTGTGGGACTCAGTCCTTAACCCGTGAGGTCGACACTGTCTCCAGGTAGACAGTGTCAGAACCGAATTGAACTGGAGAACACCCAGCTGGTGTCTGCTGCAAAACTGATTAGTTATAGGTGGGGAGAAGTCCCCACACACTCCTTGGCAGCCAGAAGTCACAGAAGTCTTCTGTGTGGATTGTTGTGGGATGACAGCAAGAAAAAAATCATTTGTTTTATTGAAGAAGATACAAAGACTCATATCTATGTTATGCATCTATGAGATGCATTTGTTTATCTTATTATCTAGTTTTATTTTAAAATTTAGAGATAATTTAAGAGGGATAAAGAAGTATAATATACAGACGTTCCATGACTTAAGATAGATCAACATAAGATTTTTCGACTTTAAGATGGTACAAAAGTGACGGGCATTCAGCATGCTCCTGGACTGACCATAGGGTTTCATCCAGATAAATCCACTGTACATTGAAACGATCCTAAATTGAATTGTAATGATATTTGCAACTTACAATGGGCTTAAGGGGATGTAACCCCACCATTAGCTGAGGAGCATCGTTCTGTACAAGTTTCTGCCTTTTAACTCACTTGCAATCTACCTGGGACTTCATGATAATTGCTTCACAATCTAGATGACGGCACTCAGCTGTTTGTAACTGAGTGCCAAAGGCACATACAGACAGCAAACTCCACAGCATGGTGAGCAAAATCCCCACGTGCTGCTGTGATGGGCAAAGGCCTCAGAGGAGGTAGAGGGTGCCCCGCTGCCTAGTGCCTTTCTGACCTTCATCTGATGTATAAGTGCTTAGGTTAGCTCCGTCCCATAGAAACACTACATGAACCATGTATGTAATTTAAGATTTTCTAGTAGCACATTAAAAAAAAAGAAACAAGCTGGGCTCAGTGGCTCAGCCTGTAATCCCAGCACTTTAGGAGGTCATGGCAAGTAGATTGCCTGAACCTGCAGGTTCGAGACCAGCCCAGGCAACTTGGCAAGACCTCGTCTCTACAATATGACAAAAAATTAGCCAGGCATGGTAGCACACATCTGTAGTTCCAGCTACTAGGAAGACCAATGTGAAAGGATCGCTGGAGCCCAGCAGGTTGACACTGGGGTGGCCATGAGCATGCGTGCCACTGCACTCTAGCATGGGTGAAGGAGTGAGACTCTAACTCAAAAACAAAGAGAAAGAAACAGATAAAATTGATTTTAATAATTTATTTTATTCGTTATATCTAAAATAGCATCATTTCAACATGTAATCAATATAAAAAGGTAAAAAGATATATTGCATTCTTTGTCTTTTTGGAACTATTTTTAGATCCTGCGGTGTATTTTATACTTGCTTATATTTTCAGTCCGCCATAGTTCAAGTGCTCCAAGGTCACATGTAACTAGTGGCTGCCATGTCAGACAGAATAGCACTAGCTGGTATTGAAAATGTTCATATTTTGTTCATCATGAATGTTTGATACTAATTTTAATCTTAGGAAATGATGCATCAAAATGTTTATCATGATTTATTGGCCGTTTTCATGCCCCTTACATGGTGAGTCCTCTCACACACTCACCCTGGGCCCAGCCCTGGCACCGGGCACTTTCAGAGAGCCTCCTAAATTCCTCATCTGGACACTAACACCACAGACTCAACTGTATGTCAGAAATGGGAGCAAACTCCTCTAATTTACTGAGTCTTAGGCATCAGTTTTTAAAAATGGAAATTCAAACTGCATTGAAAATTTTGCAACTATGTCAGGACCAAACCATAACCCAGGAAAGAGTTTATGACTTTGATTTCCTGGTCAAGGTGACCTTTGACCATTGTACTTCCCCAATTATGGGAGAAAAGAATGAAAACAACAGTTTTTTGAGACGACACTGTCCTAGGCCTCATTCCCTGTCCATATTATAGCTTAAATCTCTGGCTTTTAGGGGTTTTGTATCTACAGTCTCTCTCTATGCTGTGCTATATTGGGAATGCAACTTATATGCTGAAAGAAAGGAAAAGTCTTGCTTATTAACGTATGCCTACTTTCAAATGAAAACCCTTTCTTCTTTATAGGGAACTAAGAAACAAAGCAAATGTTCAGTTTGGAGATAATGGGACAACAGTCTCTGCTGTTAGCAACAAGGCTTATGTGTTTGAGCGGAACCAGTCTGTTGGGGACCCTGAAGTGGACTTGATCAGAACATTGAATATCCCAGCACTGGTGAGTGGGCGTGTGAGTGTCATTACTGTGTCTTTAGGAAGACAGGAGAAGCCAGGTTAGTGCTATTATGGTTTTATATTTAGGAGCTATTAAGTTTTGTTAAAAATATACATTTATATGAGGAAAAATACCTTTGCCCCCCTTCTTTTCTTTAAAGTTCATCTTGGACTATTTTCTAAGGGCTGTCAAACAAGGTCTTTTAAAATGATGACAAGATACAAATTCTAGGGTGTGTTTTTACAGTTTCTTCCTGGGTGTTCAGGATTAGCACTTGTGCAAATAAACTGCCCCAAGAATGTTTAGGTAGCTAATCATTTTTTAAAAACATTTATTTGCTCCTTGTTTTAGTTTAGAATTTCTGGCACTGGAATTTGCATGCCTCTTCTTAGTGCAGATTTCTATCTTGGGTTTTATATTCTCGAAATATATAAATGGACTCCCCCCACCTTCTTTGCAAATAGAAACCAGTACACCAAGTCCTTGATCTCAGCCTCCCATGACTCCTTGGGCTCCGGCTTAGTGACAGTTCCCCCTTACAATGGCACATCACCCACACCGAAGCTAGACTGAACCTCAGGAAGCTTCATTCACCTCTGTCAGCCCCTTCTGCGGCCCCTGCCCTAGCTCCCAGATGATCACATCACAACAGCTGGGCCCTGCTGGTGGCCAGGACCTCTAGAGCATTAGACCCCAGATCTGGCCCTGCCTGCTGTTTAGTGGCCCAGGGTTCCAAGGCACGCCAGCCTCAGGCCACTCAGGAGGAGGGCGGGGTCAAGGCCAAAGATGCCATTTACAAGAGCTTTCCCTTTCTGCGGTGTCTGAATAACTCAGAGCCTGCAAGCAGGCCTGCCAGGCTTACACATACACAATGAACTGCTGAGAAGGGACAGTCACTGAAGGGTCTTGTTCTTCCCTACGTAGTCAGAGATGAGCTCGTTTCTGACCTTTCAGTGATTTAATCATGGTCTTTGATTTAATCCTGGTCCAGTCCGTTTTGCTGAGGGGTATCAGGAGAGAGTGGGCAGGGTGCTTTAGAGGGGATGCTGACTCCACTGTCTTAATTTCCCTCTGCTCCTCAGACCGTCATGGAGTGGGCCCAGGTCCAGTTCCTCAGGGAGGTCATCGAGGCCATGCTAAAAGCCTATGAGCAGAAGCTCTTTGTGACTCACACCGTGCATGAGCTGCTCTGGGGCTACAAAGATGAGATCTTGTCCCTCATCCATGTCTTCAGATCTGAGGTCAATCCCAATTTTGGCCTGTTCTATGGGGTAAGTTTTGATTTTTATTTTCAGAACCTCTTTGTTCAGCTGACAGGAGGGAGGGACACCACAAGCCAAACTTCATTTTAACTTTGGGTTTCTTCTAGAAGACAGTTTCCCAGAGGTCAGATGTCTTGTAGAGTATGTGGAAAACAAAGCAGTGTTTTTTGAGAAGGAAAAAAACACTTCAGCAAAACAAATAGTTGGGAAGTTGATAAAACACAAAATTAACCTCAGGAAGAAAATGTTCGATTGGGGGTGGGCTCTGAGCCTGTGATGAGTGTGCCCAAGTTTCATTGTGTAACTATTTTCGATCTGCCTGTCTCACCCTCATCATGTGATACTATAGCATCCCAGTTCCTCTACAGCAAACTGATAATTCTGCCCCCACGCCTTTAAGGGTGTACAGAACTTAGAAGTTGCTGAAACAAAATTATAAGCAAGTTTTTAAACATTATCTATGAAGGAATCCTAAAAGTAGGGTCTCACCACTCTAAATGCTTCTCTCTGGGTGAGTGGACCAGGTAAGTATTCCCAAAAAGGTCCTGTCTCACAGGTCCAGAGGAAGCAAAGATTTCTTTTTAGCTGTGACTAGAACTCCCTTCTTATAAGTAATTTCAGGAGAACCTCCTACTGAGAGGTACAAAGGTTTCTTCAAGGCCTTTTTGGTCCCAGTGGCATCAGTCCATCAGCCAAGTGTTTCCTGTGCCTAATAGCTTAAGTATTGTTGAAATAATTTTAATTTGTATAACTCATTTTTTTTGTTTGTTTTTACTTCATTGACCTCACCAGACTTATAGCCATTTACCATATGTTGTTGTGAGGAGTTCATGAGATAATTTATGTCAAAATTTTAGACCAGGACTAGGGAATATTATAAATACGCAATACTTGTTCACCCCTTCTACTTTATTATTATAGAAGAACTTGTACCTATGCTGTTTCTCAGAAGTTACAGCCACATCCCAAATAAAGAATCTGTAGGAATGTATCATATCTATATGTGCTCGTAAGAAGTTAACTTGAAGAGAATATGCAACCGAGGAAACCTTATTTGATATAGGTCTATATTATTCTGGGTATGGTAGCTGATACCTATCATCCCAGGTCTTTGGTAGGCTGAAGCAGAAGGATCACTTGAGCCCAGGAGTTCAAGGCCAGTTTGAGCAACATAGTGAGACTTTGTCTCTACAAAAAATTTTAAAAAGTTAGCCACGTGTGGTAGCAGGCACCTGTCATTACAGCTGTTCATTGGAAAGCTGAGGCAGGAAAATTGCCTGAGCCTGCGAGGTTGAGCCATGATTGTGCCACTGCACTCCAGCCTGGGCAGCAAAGTGAGACCCCAACAAAAAAAAAAAAAACCACCACTTTCTTCTAGGGCAGCTATTCTTGTGTAATTGGTATCCTGGCCCTGGACTTAGGCTTTTAAATTTGTTATTCTTGAAATACAATTCACTTATCATAAAATTTACCATTTTATAATGTACAGTTCAGTCATTGTTAGTATATTCACAAGGTTGTGCACTCATTGCTTCTAATTCCAGAATGTTTTCATTATCCCAAAAGGAAACTGCATCCCTTCTTGGCAGGCACTTCTGTTTCCCTCCCCACAGCCCCTAGCGGTCACTAATCTGCTTTCTGACTCTCTGGATTGGCCAATTTTGGATATTTCATAGAAATGGAATCCCACACTGTGACTTCTGTGTCTGGTTTTCAAATTGAGCATCGTTTCCAGGTTTCATTCATGTAGTGTGTGTTAGCGCTCGTTCCTTTTTACAGTGCAGTGATACTGTCGTAGCTCACTGTAGCCTCGAACTCCTGGGCTCAAGTGATCCTTCCACCTCCAGAGCAACTGGGACTACAGGTGTATGGCCCCATGCCCCACTAGTTTAAACATATTTTAAAGAGACAGGGTGTTCTGCGTTGCCCTAAAGGTAAAACCTCAAACCATAAGAACTTTAGAAAATGCAGCCCCGACCCCAAACTCCTGACCTCAAGCAATCCTCCCACTTCAGCCTCCTGAGATTATAGGTGTGTACCACCACAATGGGTCGTTCCTTTTTATGACTAATATTCTGTTGTCTAAATATACTGTCTTTTTTTATCTTTTTATTAGTTGGTGGGCATTTGGGTTTTGTCCACGTCCAGGCTACTATGACCAGGATGGCTATGAATATTGTATACAGGTTTCTGTGTGAACATTGAACATATACCTGCAGTGGAATTCTCTTGGATAAATACATAGGTGTGGAGATTTGGAGAACTTTGAATTCTGTTTAAACTTTTATTTTATTTTTTAACACATTTTTTATATTAAAATTGTGGGGTACAGTTAAGGGTTAGGTATACAAATATGCATTGTGCAGATACCCTTGTTGATGAGGTGTGCCCCTCGTCCCCAGACAGATATTGACTACTGTTAATCCCACCTCCCTTCCCCTCCCTCCTCCCCCCATAGTTTCCCACTGCTGTCAATCCTTTTCTTATAGTATTATGATAGTTGTTCAAGGTTCACTTATGAGTGAGAACATGTGGTACTCAGATCTTTGTTTCTGTGAGAGATCACTCAGTATTATAAACTCCAATTCCATCCAGGTTGCTGCAAAATTCATGATTTTATTCTTTTTTATAGCTGTGTAATATTCTATTGTGTATATGTACCACATTCTTTTAATTCAGTCCTCTTTTGATGGATAGCATGGTTGGTTCCATGATCTTGCTATTGTGAACAATGCTGCAATAAACATACGTGTGCAGGTATCTTTCTTATAGGTTGATTTGAGTTCTTCAGGATATATTCCCAGTAGGGGAATTGCGGGATCATATGGAAAGTCGATTTTTAGAGCTTTTAGGAATCACCACACTGATTTCCACAGAGGCTGCACTAGTTTACACTCCCACCAACAGGGTAGAAGTATTCCCTTTTCATCACATCCTCTCCAGCATCTGTTATTTTTTGAGTTATTGATAATGACCATTCTGACTGAAGTTAGGTGGTATCTGAGTGTAGTTTTAATTTGCATCTCCTTAATGACTAGTGAAGTTGAATATTTCTTCACGTATCTGTTGGCCACTCGTATGTCTTCTTTTGAGAAGTGTCTGTTCATATCTTTTGCCCACTTTGTAATGGGATTGTTTTTTTCTTTTCAGCACGTTTGAGTTCCTTGTAGATCCTAGATGTTAGGCCTTTGTCAGACATGGAGTTGGCAAATACTTTTTCCCAGTCTGTGGGCTGTCTCCCTGCTCTCTTGATGGTTTCTTTGACTTTGTAGAAATTGTCAGCTTAATGAGGTCCCACTTGTCTATCTTATCTCTTATGGCCCATGAGTTTTAGGTTTTGCTCAGGAATTGGATGCCAGTTCCAACTTCCATAAGGGTGTGTCCTGCA